ACTTATTATTAGGAGTCGATTTTAGAAATTTTACTTATAGATACAATATTTAAAATATTACAAAATAAAAATATTTCGTATAATCGATACAAATTACAAATAATTATCAAACAATAGTTACTGAATGTATTTACCTATATTTTTTTAAAAGAACCATTAACATATTTAGTATTTACCTATGTTGTTTCAAATAAAAAACAAAATAATGTTATTGTTAAATGTTTATGTTTGGACACTGTTTATTATACAATCATTTTTTTAATGATAGCTATTCCTAAACCTTGTGTTTATTTATAATTAAATATAAACAATGTGGTAATTACATTAATAAGCTTTTAAAAAACATTTAATCAATCAATTTCATGTGATTATGTAAGTACCTAATATTGAAGTCTGGAATGTTTTTTCCTAGAATCGGGGATTTTTATTTCGCAATTCATTGTCTATAATAGGTATTGTATACTATTAATATAGTTCTGTGCATTTATTGCAATATTATGTATAATACCGAATTAATTATCGTACCAATATACGAACATAAATCGTTAACTTGCGATGTAGTCTATACTCTGTAGATAAAGAAAAATAGAAATTGATTACCTACTCTATATGTTTATGTGTATAGATTCAATACACTTTTTTTGGTGGGGTGGCAAAGCCCCTCGCGGTAACTAAAAGTTAATATAAAATGTGTAGTACGAAAAAAATTATATTTTAGCCTCTGGCATATTGCCGAATAAACCAGTTCTCAACTCAAGGATTATTCGACAACTCTAACATTTACGTCGGTACCTTTCGAAACCGCCGGTATTCCTTTGATCCACCTGTTACGAACGGCCCTTCAGGGATCCAAAAGCTGATGTACTTTTATAAATAACAATAGTCAAATTAGTATAGTAATCAAATGTATTTTATTAAACCAGACAAAATAAGCAGAACAGTCGTGTTGATTGTGTAGTTGAGTGAATTGTAGCTCGTTCTAGAATGATAATCTCCGTGTAAGTTGTGTGATGGCTGGCGGCTAAGCGAGTCGTGTGTTGTTCACGTCTCTGGATACATCTACTCAGGCTGTCTCGCTGTCCCCTATATATATGGTGGCGGTGTCCTTTGAAAGCGAGCAGCGCGTGTACAGTCGTCCTTGATATGATTCGGACCTCACGACTTTAAGTGGTATTCTAGTCGTAAACACTTTTGGGTGTGGTCGCATTCCTGGTTGTTTTTATGAGCAAATACATGATATTACGTAATCCCATTACACACCTCCTGTCCTCCTAGTCTCTACCGTGTACCTATTGTTACGTGCCAACTACTATAGCAGATGAAATGTAGGAAGTAAATTGAGTAACTCCTCGATGATGGTAATAATTTGTATTTATTTATGCAAACAGTTATTATGAAAAATATTCCAAGTCCAAATAATGACTTAAGCGAGTTGTGACTGCTAGTATTTAGAGTGACTGTTAAAGTTGAGGCTTGTTGCTAGTCTGCTGAACGCTTGTCCATCAGCTTCCCTCGATGGGTCTCTCCAGTCCCTTCCACAGATTCACATGACCATACATGGTCATCCTGCGGTTAGGCCTATTGTGGGATTTGTCACCCGGTCGTCGCTGCACGCGCAGGCACGGCGCCAAGGTGGGGCTCTAGCCCCCCCCCCCAGAAAACAGATCAGCCCCCTCGCCAGCCCCCCCACTGAAAAATATGTACGATATAATTAATGTTTGTTGTATACAGTTAAAAATATTTTTAGCTGACTTATTATTTTAAATATGTTTATGTTTGACTAACACAATACTATTCTGTAAGGAGTTGGTATTCGTACCTACCTACTTATATTAGTTTAGTAATTAGCATGACAAATTTCTTATTTAAAATATTTAAATAATTTATTCAATTTTCTTATTTTGTTATTTTTATAATCTTATTTGTCATGGTAATTAGTTCACATATTACTTGATAATTAATAAAAAAGGATTTCTTAAAGTATCTATGTTTTAATGTATACATGCCAATGTATAATATATGCCTTGTATATAACCTTGTATATATGAACTATTTTAACCCCAAAAATTTAACAAAAAATATAAAGTAGGTAGGTACTTCAATAGTCAATACATACACTACTATGCAAATACCAATTTAAAATGTACTAGTTAAATATAAGGTAGGTAATCAAAAGTTTTTATTTAAAACAAATTGTATTCCTACTGATATCAGTGCAATTGTATACATTTTTGTTAACTTTTTCAATATTATAAGATTTTCAATCATTTACTGTATGGTGCATAAACAGATATTGTATAAAAAATCAATATTTAGCTCATAAAGAAATTATTATTTTTGTATATCATGTTATCATTATGAATATAGTTGTTGAATGTCTTAGGTCTGTGATTAAATATTTTCTTACATATTACAAAAGGTACAAAGAAAATATTTGATATTATTCTTAAAACATTTTTAACTATTCAAAAGTTTGTAAATATTATATGTTTAGACGTTTAGAGCATACAATATAAAACGTATGTACTATATAGCTAATAGCTATATTATGTTATATGATACGAAAATATTTATATTTCATTTAAATAACCTCAGCATTTGTTGAAACAATTTTAGCCCATGTAAAAAAAATATTTGCCCCACTCTGCCACCCCCTGGAAAAAAATTCTAGTGCCGTGCCTGTGCACGCGCCGGATGTCATCCGATTACATCTTGTTATTTAGTATATAACAGCACAAATCCTAGTTCAAAGTATTTTAGAATTATTTGTATACGTATTCATATATCTATTGCCGCCCGCCGTTCATGGTCATGCGTTCGATTATTATCTTCGCTCTGTATATAATATGCTGTCGTCGCTCCACTACACACATACTGTATACATGGTGCCAGCGACGTTATTATTATTACTATTATTGACTTTTACGCGAGCAACGCTCGCGTATTACTATTATCTTATATTTACGCGGCGCGTCTATTATATGATTATATGATTACGTACATAATATTAGAATCAGATTTATATTGTTAAATAGTTGTTTAAGAAATAGTCACAGCTCGCTATACACTATTAACCAAGGGAGACTTTGTATATATACGAGTCTCCGTCTGTATCCAAATTAGAATTAGCTCAGTGCTAGTACGACGTACACACTTGTAAGTACTTAGTATTAACCACTAATCTCTCGGGCAGACGCTTATCGCTCTGTCCTCAAATTCATAGGCGCACATTGGGGGTGAATTTAGGGGGTGCTGGAATAATTTGTGTTACACAAAACCGAAGGGACCTTCGAACCCACACCATCCTAAATTCTAATACCTACTATAATAAATTGCATTGCAATTATTTGAAATTTGTATACAATTTGTAAATAGCAATGAATCAAGTTATAACCTTTCATTGATATAATTACGATTTTCTATAATGTGATTGCTGCTTATTGTTTAATATTTTGACGACAACTGAAACGTGCATTTATGCAATACTGTTTTAATCTCAAATTCGTGAACTGTATCTATAAACTGTGTCTATTTGTAATGGAAAAAAAAAATCCAAACCACAATAATTTATTAATGATTGGTGAAATACTGAAATAAATTTCATAATGAACTGGGGGTGCTAGTTTAAACCTCGAGGGTGCTAAACACCCCCAAGCACCCCTCTATATGCGCCTATGCTCAAATTTCTATATTCAAATGAAATACCATTATATTATTATTAATATGCATCAACAAAAACCGTGATACTATCATAGATAAATAATAGTACACTTTAAAAGTTTCAAGTAGGTACCCACGAATAATATTATTCAATCACAACAAAATAACTAAAATAATTATTCTAGGTTTTTTAATATGTAATTTCGTCCAAATTTGAATTTAAAATGTTTGTAAAAAATTACTGTGTTCATATATTTTTTAGACTTTTTGGTTACAGTATGAACTATTTATGAAAACCTTTGTTTTAAATTTGCAATACTTAGCTATGAAAACTGAACATTTTATAATTTATTAATTACGATGATTGATAATATTCGAGATTTTGATAAATTTTGTCAACATTTGATCTTTAAATGCTTATAAAAAAAAACTGTGCCTATGTATTTTTAATATTTTTCAACTGATATTGTAACAATATATCAGGAGCTTTCTATTAAATTTTTACACTTTTTGGCCCAACAGATAAAACTTTATTGATATTTATAGAAAAAAAAAACTAAAAAAAATTGAAAGAGGTAAATGCCCGTAAATAGCTCAAAAACAGTCAAAATATTTTCAAAATTGTATGGTGTATAGGAAATGCTAATTTAAACATTCAGTGAAATTTTCATGTATCTACAGTTATTCGTTTTTGAATTACAACAAATAAGGAAATCGCTACATGAGAAATCGAGTGAATATCCAATATTGTAAAAATTTGAATTTCAAACGCTCATAAAAATTTAATTTGACTTTCTTATAGACATTTTTTTTTTTTGATAAAGGTAGATAATCTTATAAGGAATCTTGTATTACATTTTCAAATCTTAGATTTAAAAAGAAAAATTTTTACGAATTCTTAACTCAAAATAATTTGCTAATTTTCGTAATTTTTCCATATTTTGTCAATTTTTGAACTTTAAATGCTTATAAAAAAAAATTGTGACTAAGGATTTTTAATGTTTTTCATCTGCCTTTGAAACAATATACTAGGAGCCTTCTATTAAATTTTCAAGCTTTCGCAACCAACAAATAAAATTTTATTGATATTTTTAGAAAAAAAACTTAAAAAAAATGAAAAATGAAAATGTCCCTAAACAGTTCAAAATAAATCAAAATATTTTGAAAATGTTATCGTGTATATAAAATGCAAATATAAACAACCAGTGAAAATTTCATGTATATACGTTAATTTCTTTTAGAGTTACA